ATAATAACTCACTGCTACACTCTCAAATCTCAAACAGTTTCATCGGTCGATATTGAGAGCATGGCATTACTCTTTGTTCGACAGCAACTAAGAGTCCACCCATCAAACTGCTCTTCAGATCACGGCAAGCTTCTACTAAACTGTCCAATAATTCATGTCGACGAATCGAAAATTCCAATACACCTTTACTATCGCACATACGTATACCATTCTTTTCAGTAATAGTAATCGCATTGCCTTGCAGCAGGGCACCATATGCAACAAAAGGGGCCCAAGCAACATTCTCTGTTTCCAAGAACAGCGTCATGAAATGATCTGATGCAATATCGTTCAGCCTAACATTCTTGTGCATAACACATAAATACAGTTTCTTAATCATCGCCGTCTCTAATTCCTTCATACCAAGATAGGAAGAAATCGTTCGTTCAAAACAATCTCTCTCTTCCATGCCATTCATATCCATCCATCCATCATTGATCGCCGTAACCACGTTACAAATCACTATGCTCATTTTTGCTCTTTCACCAATCTTTCCAAGAGCTTGAGATGCATTCCTCTTGATCCACGAAACTTGACCTCGAGGTGCATTGAGGAGAGCAGTAACAACCTCATTCGTTGCTGCTTTTTCACCAATGTTTCCAAGAGCATCACAGGCTCCCGATCTGACACGATAGTCTTGATTTCGAAGTGCATTGCGGAGAGCAGTAATGACCTCATTCGTTGCTGCTTTTCCAACAATATTTTGAAGAGCTTCACAGGCTCTCTTCGTGACTTCATAGCTTTCATCTTGAAGTGCATTCAGGAGAGCAGTAACGACCTCAATCGTTGCTGCTTTTTCACCAATGTTTCCAAGAGCTTCACAGGCTCTCTCCCTGACTTCATAGCTTTCATCTCGAAGTGCATTCAGGAGAGCAGTAATGACCTCATCCGTTGCTGCTTTTCCAACAATCTTTCGAAGACCTCCACAGGCCCCATATCGGACACTCGAGTGTTCATCTCGAAGTGCATTGAGCAGAGCACTGATGACATCATTCGTTGCTGCTTTTCCGACAATCTTTCCAAGAGCTTCACAGGCATCCGTTCTGACCCACTCGTCTTGATCTTGAAGTGCATTGACGAGACCACTAATGACGTCATTCGCAGCTGCTTTTTCATCAATCTCTCTAAGAGCTGCATAGGCTTTATACTGGACAGACGATTCTTGATCGTGACGTGCATTGAGGAGAGCAGTAATGACCCCATTCGTTGCTACGTTTTCACTAATCTTTCCAAGAGCTTCACAGGCTCTCTCCCTGACTTCATAGAGTTCATCTTGAAGTGCATTGAGGAGAGCACTAATGACCTCATTCGTTGCTGCTTTTCCAACAATCTTTCGAAGACCTCCACAGGCTCCCGATCTGACATTCGAGTGTTGATCTCGAAGTGCATTGAGCAGAGCACAAATGACCTCATTCGTTGCTGCTTTTTCACCAATCTCTCCAAGAGCTTTACAGGCTCCCGTTCTGACTCTCCAGTCTTGATCTTGAAGTGCATTGAGCAGAGCACTAATGACCTCATTCTTTGCTGCTTTTTCACCAACCTCTCGAAGAGCTTTATGGGCTACCCATCTGACATGATAGTCTTGATCTCGAAGTGCATTGAGGAGAGCACTAATGACCTCATTCGTTGCTGCTTTTCCAACAATATTTTGAAGAGCTTCACCGGCTCGCCATATGACATTCGAATCTTGATCTTGAAGTGCATTGCGGAGAGCAGTAATCACCTCATTCGTTGCTGCTTTTTCACCAACCTTTCCAAGAACTTCACAGGCTCCCGATCTGACATGATAGTCTTGATCTCGAAGTGCATTGAGCAGAGCACAGATGACCTCATTCGTTGCTGCTTTTTCACCAATCTCTCCAAGAGCTTTACAGGCTCCTGTTCTGACTCTCCAGTCTTGATCTTGAAGTGCATTGAGCAGAGCACTAATGACCTCATTCGTTGCTGCTTTTTCACGAATCTCTCCAAGAGCTTCTGATGCTTTGCCCCTGATCCACGAATCTTGATCTCGAAGTGCATTGAGGAGAGCACTAATGACCTTATTCGTTGCTGCTTTTCTAACAATATTTTGAAGAGCTTCACCGGCTCGCTCTATGACACTTGAGTATTGATCTTGAAGTGCATTGAGGAGAGCAGTAATAGCCTCATTCGTTGCTGCTTTTTCACCAATCTTTCCAAGAGCTTCACAGGCTCCCGATCTGACATGATAGTCTTGATCTCGAAGTGCATTGAGGAGAGCAGTAACAACCTCATTCGTTGCTGCTTTTTCACCAATGTTTCCGAGAAAATCACAGGCTCCCGATCTGACACGATAGTCTTGATCTCGAAGTGCATTGCGGAGAGCAGTAATGACCTCATTCGTTGCTGCTTTCTCACCAATCTTTCCTAGGGCTTCACATGCTTTCGTCCTAATCCAGGAAGCTTTATCTTGAAGTGCATTTAGGAGAGCAGTAACAACCTCATTCGTCGCTGCTTTTTCACCAATGTTTCCAAGAGCTTCACAGGCGCTCCCCCTGACTTCTGAGAGTTCATGTTGAAGTGCATTGCGGAGAGCAGTAATGACCTCATTCGTTGCTGCTTTTCCTACAATCTTTTGAAGAGCTTCATTGGCTTCGCATATGACCCATTCGTCTTGATCCTGAAGTGCATTGAGGAGAGCAGTAATGGCCTCAGTCGTTGCTGCTTTTTCACCAATCTTTCCAAGAGCTTCACATGCTTTCTTCCTAATCCAGGAATGTTGATTTTGAAGTGCATTGATGAGAGCAGTAATGACCTCATCCGTTACTGCTTTTTCAGCAATCTTTCCAAGTAGGTTACAGGCACGTTCTTTGAGGTCACGTGAGTTGTCGGGTCGAAGGAGAGCCAGAATTGCCGATAAAAAATGAGGTGGGGGCTCAATGATGGTGAAATTGGATATAATTTGTAGTGCAGAGTTTTGAGTTTGTTCATTTTCACTTTGCAAGAGGTGAACGAGGGCCTTTTGTATTATCGCTGTGTTTCCTAAAGAGGTTGCACGTGAGATCGATTCCATGAGATTTTTTGTGATTGCGGATACATGGGACTTGGTGCATATATCCAACCACTGCGCTATGATTCGGAGAAGGCTTGGTCTTTGGGGAAACACTGTTTGATTAGCGAGCTCTTCGAAACATTCAATGATAAGTTTGATGTGTTTTAGGCCGATAATATCTATGGGTTCTCCGTGCATGGTGGACCAAAATCTGTCGATCAATGATGCATAGTCGGATTGTGCAAGAAGGCCAGAAGCAAAAATAAAGACTAAGAGGAAACGTTGGTTGTATTTATGATTATTTATAAAATTTATTGCTTTTTGTTTATTGGAACTATTGAGTGTTTTAAGCAAGTGACGTGCTGCAAAGTGTTCCTGAAAACTAAGATGAACAAAATAATGTTGCTGTTCAGGTGTTACTTGATTGCTGGTGGAGTTGTCGCCATAAGACTTAAGAATTCCAATGTTCAATAATTCTGGTTGTTCGTCTAAATTGTAGTGGGTTTCCTTTTCTGTTTCTTCAAGAAGTGTGGGTGGTAAAATAATTTGATTGCTTTCCATTGCTTTGAAAGCTAAAACTTCTAAGAATTGCAACTCGGCCTCGCACAGCTCATAAAGAGCTTTCTTTCTCTTTCGTTCATGTTTAATATTTTTTCTTGATAGATGCCGGCGACATAACCATTCTATTATGCTGTCATACAATGCTGTGATAGTCAACGCTTTCGTTTTTGACCAATCATGATCACTCCAAAGACTACATATCAATTCAAGATTTACTGGTATATGAGCAACACCCCAAATACTTGAATTAGACTTAAGGAGTGTTAGAAGATTTTGCCCTTTGATCGAAGCATCTTCCATGTCATCTTTCATTTGCTCAAAGAACTGCTCGATATACTTAACAATATTATCATTTGTGAATCCTGTCATTTCCATTTTGACATTGTAAGATAGTGTAATCGCGTAAGGACGTGATGTCAATATATGATGTTGTGTGTCAAGTATATAATCGAATAGCTTCTTTAAGTGTTCTAGAGGGTTTTGAGCAAACTCATCATAACCATCGAGTATCCAAAGAATCTGACATTTTTCGAAATGTTCTTCGAAGACCGATGGATCTATTTGTGATAAATTATGAAAAGGGAAATATTCTTCCTTCACCAGATCAAATGGTAAGTATTTCTTTCCAGATGGATAGTTATATTCTGTCAAATTTCGTAAGTGAATCAAAATAATCAGCTTATATTGTGGCCAAAGTTCGCCTTTTGCCCATCGGTAAGTAACGTATTGGCAAAACGTTGATTTTCCAATTCCAGCTCGCCCGAGTACTAACACTTTCTTCATCTGATCTTTACATTTTTTAAGCATATCTACGACATCAATCGAAGTCTTTGCACCATAGATATCTTCAAAAGTACCAAGGATGTCAATATTGCCCTGTTTCCGTTGGTTAATTTGTTCATTTTCTTGTTCAAGCTTCTTCTCTCTGTCTTGTTGTTCTTTACCTTCTACTATAGCCAAATTAATGTAACTTTGTTCGATTGGGAAGCTGAGATTATGCATCAGTCTTTTTATTTTATTTGCATCTAGATATTTTTTTCTTATGGTTTCAAACAATTTGATTGGTGGAGGGGTTGACTGTGTTGTAGTAGGGGAAGGTGGATTTTTTATTTTGTCAATAAGCTCTTTCGCTTTCACTTTAATACCATCTTGGGAAGTATCGGAAAAATCAATGGCTAATAAATCACTCGTGATAAAGTCTAGCCAGCTTGGTGGTTTCGGCTTCCAGATTTTTCTATCAATCGCCATGCAAGGGATGATCCTTTTGCCTTGTTTCTGTGCGTTCGTTAATTCTAGTTCACAATTCCTTGAATTTTCATAATCGGGGGTCATAAAACAGCAAACAATTGAAGAATCGAATACTCCCTTAGCCATACTAAGTATAAATGTAGTACAGTGGCAGTATTAGAGAAGCAACCCAAATTCCTAGATCTTTACCTCTTTATTATATTGTCCTGCATGTCTTTCTCATCAAACCAAACTGGAATACTCTCAGCTTCCAAAATTTCGCATACTGTTTTAACAATGCTTTTGCTTTTGTGATTATATGAGAGCATAACTCGTTGTTCTTCGCTGCGGGTCATTGTTGCGATCTTGATAGTGCTAGCAAATTGGTATTCTGAGAGATTAATTATTAAGGCAAAGTTGAAGGAGCTAATTCTCGTAAGAAAGCTTACCCCCCAGTGAAAAAAAGTCAGATTATATCTGATTTTGTGAGATTATCATCGGATTTTTCTGCAACAAAATCCAAATTATAATCGATTGAAATTTTCCAAAGTACAAATAATCTAATTTTTAATCAAAAATAATTCTTCGAAATCAAGAATACTTTAGATTTTAATCCAATTATACTGGATTTTAATCAAAATTTTACTTGATTTCGAAAGATTCTTTTTAATCCAAAATAATCCTCGAAACCAAGTAAAAGTTTGATTAAAATCCAGTATAATTGGATTAAAATCTTAAATATTCTTGATTTCGAAGAAAAATTTTTAATTAAAAATCAGATTATTTGTACTTTGGAAAATTTCAATCGACTATAATTTTGATTATGTTGCAGAAAAATCCGATGATAATCTCACAAAATCAGACATAATCTG